TTCCGATCTCCCCAAAACCCCAAAACCCCACTATGACTTATTCGTGAGATGAAGATGTTTTTGGAATTAATTAAATATAATAAATAATATAATAATGTCGATGGAGACAGCTAGCATCAGACCATACCTTGGAGCATGTTCTAAAGCCAAAGGCGCCGATTTCGCAGACTGCAAAAAGGGCATGATCATAAACAGAACTCTGAAAATGGGAGATGAACTGATCAAGCTGAGAGACAGTCTCAACGTGACAACTGAGGCAACACCCACAGAGACTCCACTCATTAATAATCCGAGCTAGTTGATTTTAAATGGGCAATAAACTGAGCAGAATAATGACTTGATGAGTTTCAAGGGGAACAACATCATGACTATCATTGTGATTACTTCGCTCATAGTAGTTGGCTCATTTTTCTTCTTGCTCTTAGCTTATTATTCCAACTGTAAGAATACACATTTTTTTGGAGTTTAATTTGAAATAGTCCTAGTTAAGGGTAACAAGAAAAAGGGTTCAAAGCGATCTTCAGGCCATAAGAATTAGTAGAAAGATAATTTGAAATTGGATTATTCATCAGGGGAAAGCATGCCTCAATCCTAATTCAACTTGGGATTCCAGTCTTATCAACAGCTAGTTCAGTAGAGTTCTGGCCCTAAAAGGTAAGTTTAATCAAACAATGCAGATACATATCAATGCTCTGTATAATTCATATTATAATGTTAATACTCCAGAGAGTTAACAAATAGAAATAGTTTCTTTGAGAACATCAGTGGCAGCTCATCATGCCAGCCACCAAAGAACAGCTACCATAGCCAAATGTACTTCATGAGAAATTCTCAGATCCCTTAACTCCTTAAGGAGGATGACGTCCCCAAGTTCAAGATACCTAACTTCTCCAGTGCTAATTCCACTTGCAGCTCCAAAGAGAGTAAGTTTCACTAAGATAATTGTTTGTATACAGATAAGAAAGTTAAGAAAGACGAGGTGAAAATAATGTAAAATATGAGGGAGTAAGAAGGTAACAAAAACCAAATGAACGGCAACACCGATGACTTAAATGATGTGCAGTTGACTTTGAACTATGATGCTTCCTCAGACGATGAAAATGCTCCACTAATCATCTCAACTTCCTCAAGATCTAACAAGTCTCAATCACAGTTGTGAAAAAATACTCTATAGACTTAAATTCTGAATATTTTACATTATTGATATCTGGAATAAGACTTTAAACTATTTGAAAATTTATAATTTCATTTCCTAATTTAGTATAATAGATGAATTATGTATATTTCGGGGTTTTGGGGTTTTGGGGTTTTGGGGAGATCGGAAGAGCACACGTCT